TCGATCGCTGTTCGCTTTTTAGTTGTCTACTTCGTTCTCCTCGATCGCTCTACGAATAATACATAAACAAATGCTGCACTTAGCCTGAAGCTAGTTGGGCACTCTTCAAAATAATACATAAACAACTTTTAAGCTCTATGAATTTCCAAAAAATGAACAAGTGCTGTTATACAAACATTTTTCCCAATTATGACTATTTTAAAAATATACCATGAATTTCTAAGAAAGGAATATTTTTATAATTTTGAATATTTTGAAAAATATTTGTATGATGATTATGGAAATGTTTTTTATAATTCATAAGTATTATTTTAGAACAATAATACATGAACAATATTTGAAAGTTGTCTTATTATTGAGATTATTATTTACATACGACAATTTTCTAAAAAAGAAAACAAAAAGTGCAAACTGGGCCACGCGGACCGCAGTCCATTTCTGCTCCACAAGCGCTATTGTTATTGTTGGGGAACGTAGCAGAATTTTAAAATTTTCTACGCATCATCAAAATCAATCTATGGAGTCATCTAGCAACGAGGGAGAGAGGAGTGCATCTACATACCCTTGTAGATCACGAGCGGAAGCGTTCAATAGAACGGGGTTGATGGAGTCGTACTCGACGTGATTCAAATCACCGATGACCTAGTGCCGAACGGACGGCACCTCCTCGTTCGACACACGTACGGTTGGGAGACGTCTCCTTCTTCTTGATCCAGCAAGGGGGAAGGAGAGGTTGATGAAGATCCAGCAGCACGGTGGCGTGATGGTGGAAGCAACAGTGATCTCGGCAGGGCTTCGCCAAGCGCTGGGAGATAGAGGAGTGTCACGGGAGGGAGAGGGAGAGGCCAGGGGCTTGGGGTGCGCAGCCCTCCCTCCCCCCACTATATATAGGGTGCCTAGGGGGGGCGGCGGCCCTAGGAGATCCAATCTCCTAGGGGGGCGGCGGCCAAGGGGGTGCCTTGCCCCCCAAGGCAAGGGTGGCGCCCCACCCCTAGGGTTTCTAACCCTAGGCGCAGGGGGAGGCCCAAGGGGGGCGCACCAGCCCACTAGGGGCTGGTTCCCCTCCCACTTCAGCTCATGGGGCCCTCCGAGATAGGTGGCCTCACCCGGTGGACCCCTGGAACCCTTCCGGTGGTCCCGGTACAATACCGGTGACCCCGAAACCTTCCCGATGGCCGAAACTGGACTTCCTATATATAAATCTTTATCTCCGGACCATTCCGGAACTCCTCGTGACGTCCGGGATCTCATCCGGAACTCCGAACAACTTTCGGGTGACCGTGTGCTAATATCTCTACAACCCTAGCGTCATTGAACCTTAAGTGTGTAGACCCTATGGGTTCGGGAGACATGCAGACATGACCGAGAAGCCTCTCCAGTCAATAACCAACAACGGGATCTGGATACCCATGTTGGCTCCCACAAGCTCCACGATGATCTCATTGGATGAACCACGATGTCGAGGATTCAATCAATCCGTATACAATTCTCTTTGTCAATCGGTACGTTACTTGCCCGAGACTCGATCGTCGGTATCCCAATACCTTGTTCAGTATCGTTATCGCCAAGTCACTTTACTCGTACCGTAATGCATGATCCTGTGATCAATCACTTGATCACTTTGAGCTCATTATGATGATGCATTACCGAGTGGGCCCAGAGATACCTCTCCGTCATACGGAGTGACAAATCCCAGTCTCGTTCGTGCCAACCCAACAGACACACTCGGAGATACCTATAATGTACCTTTATAGTCACCCAGTTACGTTGTGACATTCGGCACACCCAAGGCACTCCTACGGTATCCGGGAGTTGTACAATCTCATGGTCTAAGTAAATGATACTTGACATTCAGAAAAGCTACAGCAAACGAACTACACGATCTTTGAGCTAAGCTTAGGATTGGGTCTTGTCCATCACATCATTCTCCTAATGATGTGATCCCGTTATCAATGACATCCAATGTCCATAGTCAGGAAACTATGACTATCCTTTGATCAACGAGCTAGTCAACTAGAGGCTCACTAGGGACGTGTTGTGGTCTATGTATTCACACATGTATTA